ACCCTATAGTTGAAGAAAACTTAGTACAGTATTGGAGTAAGTAATTTGTTTATATTACTATAGTTGTTATATTACCACAGCAACTATAGAAATACCACAACAAATTAATTCAAGTACTTTACTATAGCATGGTTCAAAAACACTATAGTATTTACTATAAATTACTATAGTATTTTTTTTTTCATGTGGGAATTTAGCAATTTAGTATTTTAACAATTAACTTTAACTGTCACTAAAAATGTATTTAAACAATTTACAGGTATTATAAGCTGTCATTTTCAATGTATTTCTTCAATGTATCTTAATTTCATCATCTTAGTCCAACATAAGTCATAGTTTCGCACATGTTTTTCACACAAATGCTGAACTGTAACACAAGATAAAATAGAAATCTCAAAAAAGAGTGGCAGTGCGTTTTGCTGAAATTAAAGTAAAACGGTTGATTGGACACTTATAAACATTAGACCTAAAATCATCACCATCTACTGTCTGAAATGGGAAAAAAAGCATCCCGTCTGACCAGATGTGTGGATGAAATGTAGAAAAATTAACAACCTGGAGGCATTTATCAAATGCAGAGAATAGTTTACAAAATTCATATAATGTACAGATGCAAATTCTGCCAGTCTTATTTTGCTAACTGAGAAGGCATGTGGCTCACCTTACTGTGTGCATAATATTTAGGCCTACAGTAGGCCTATGTTTTGCGATGGTGAGCTGTTCACACAAGTGGCGGGCTTTAGGGTGTATGAGCCCTGCTTTTATGGATGTCTTGTAAGTGAGGTTTGTCATGTCTAGTTCATTGACATGCTGTGGGGTTTGTTGGGAAGTTGTATAATCTTCTTGCACGAAATCCCTACACTGAGAACAGTATTCTTTTCATTTCTTCTTCTGAACCTCTTTCAAACAAGTGAAAAGCATGTCTCACAGCACTATGTGTGTCGGCCCACTGGTTGTCCTTGAGCGTTTGGGTACACAAATCCTTTCATTCCAGAGTCTGCGAAACCTCTGTGTACAGAAGGTGAAGAATGATGTGCGTTTCAGCCATTGTTGGAGGTTTATAGATAGAGACTGCAATTTTTAAGTCACCTTCTCAGGGCAGTCTATCTAGAATGTTTTTCATGTCACTTGTTGTTGCTAAGTAATTTTTCATAAAAGCTGAAAAATAAAAGTTGTTCTGTGCATATTGTCAGTAAGTCATAACTGCAGTTGACTTCTTCAAACTGTTGTGTTCCTAATTACTGTTCATAGTTTATTGTCATACTAAATGACTGTGTATACACTTTTAAGAAAAACTGTTCTAAACAGTACCAGACAAGGGTTCGTCATCCTAATAGGAGAATACTTTTTGCTGCTAAATAGAACCTTTTTTATATAGTTTCCATAAAGAACTTTGAAAGTGCTATATAGAACCTTAATGGAATTATAAAGAATCAAGGGAAATAAAATATTGGATCAGAGCAACGGTGAAAGAAAAAAAAAAACTCAATTTACTGCCAAAGACGTACAATATAACCTAATGAAAGGAGGAAACAACATTTCAATGCAGAATATAAGAATAACATTAAACAAAAACTGCTGTTGGGACATGCTACTCTTGCCAAATGCTACTCTTGACCAATAAGAACATAAATGGCCAACTTAAATATGATCAAATTAATTTGGATCTGTTGAGAATGTTTTATGGAGTGATGTGACCTGACTGGAACTTTTTGGACCCAAGGATCAGTGGTATGCCTAGTGCAAAAAAAAAAGAAAAAAAAAAGCCAAGGCTTATAACAGGGCTGTCAAACTAAAGGGCCACTGTCCTGCATAGTTTAGCTTCGACCATAATTAAACACACCTGATCAATCATGTAATCAAGGTCTTTGGAAGCGCTAGAAACAATTGATCTTTGATCTTTGAGACCTGGTTGGGTGTAGATGTTCACTGGTTCTTTGTACAAAGTTCTTCAGTGGTCTGTTCGGTCTTCATATTTAAATCTCATTAAAAACATTTGGTGGGATTTGAAGAAGGCAGTGGCAACATTAAAACCAAAGATTATCAGTGATCTGGAAGCTTTTTCAAACAACGAACTGGCCAAGATTTTAGCAGAGGTGACAGAAGCTTGTAAGCACTTAGAGGCAATGTTTATTGGAGGTTAAAAAGAATAAAAGATTCTCTATCAAATGTAACTTTTTGGGGTTGAATAATTTTGTATATGTATGTTTAGAGTCAATTAGATTTTTTAAAATAAACTTTATATCCTCAAAATCACTCAAATGTGTTTTAATAAACCTTCTACGATAGTTTACTGATGCCTTTGTTGAATTGTTTTTCATAAAATTTTGTTCTCTGCAACAAAATGTCTTGCAGGTCAAGGGGGTTGAATAATTTTGATTGCAAGTGTGTGACAGTAGCCTAATTAATTTGGTGCATTCCACAAATCCCCTATGTTAGGTGTAACATGATATCAATCTTGCTAAACTTAATTTCCCCCCATTAATTCTCCCATGTTTTTATATAAATTATTGGCTCGTTTAATGTTTATAGCTAAAAAAAACAACAACAACAACAACCTGGATTTAGACATGTCCCACATTTTGGTGAAAGTGTTGCAAAATTGCAAACTTCATAAAAAGGAAGCAAAAATAAAAAAGAGCTCATCTAATAATTTGTTTGAACTTCTAGGGTGAAACAGTCAGTCGTTTCCAAGGTGACAGTGAAGAAATGCTATTGCTTTAACTGAATGACATGACTTCTGTTTTTAGGAAACTGACCACTAGATGGAAGCATTGTATTTTTTTAAAGACGTCTTCCGTCAAATTAATCGAAGCCCTGTGCAGCTGTAAGGCCACCTTTGTCCAAAAGGCCCTCCTATCTAAGCTGATATTTCCTCTGTTGAAATTAATTAACCCCAAAATTATGATTTTATGATGCAGTTTGCAGAGGCCCCTAGTGGGATCATTGGTATTGATAATTAATAACTACAAGTAGTTACAAAAAGTAGTGTCATTTAATATGCTAAATATATATATATTTTTCAAAAACAAAGATAGTGTAATGTTGCTTAGATGAACACTCCACAAACCACATTTCTCCATTATAAGAGCTTCATCACACTGTGGTTTTTGCGTGATGGAGGATGCAAACTGTAAGACGATTGCTGAGCGATTATTGTTTGCATATCTATATCTGGTGGAAGCCCACAAATTTTTATTGCAGTCACGCACAAACCCACTTCACATGAATGAATACTCTGTCCTCTAACACACATAAGCACTCTCAATGATGAGGGTGTGTGTAATACCCCAGGAATGTGCTAAAAATATGCACGGCTTGGTGAACACACCCCCATAATACACAGCATGTCCGACCCTCAACATTCCTCCACTGTTTTTACTTTATCATCCATCGCAGGCAACACCAAACTGATGAAAGGCACAGTGCACTACTCATGTATTATTTGGCTTTTATTAATTGCTGCTGAAGAGTTTTGACATCAAACTAAAGGCATGGATGCTCTTGAATACCCTTGAATGCTCTACAGTTATTTAGGTTAATTATCTGATCATTTAGTCTTCGAAGGTTTGGTCACTTCTTCTTGGTGACTTATTGCTTTTGTCCTGACATAAGTAGAAGTTGGCATGTATAACAAAGAGGATATGCAATTCTAAACAATTTGTTTGCCATGTCAACTTCTGTCCAGTTGAGATTACTAAACCATTACAGTAACATCATAAATTTAAATGTAATATACATTTTATGTGTTAATAATGTGCAATCATAGAGTTTCCCAACATTTATGTCTTATGATGCCCCACAACAAGAGCATTGAATAAGTAAGTGCCCCTCCATCGACCTCAAAACTTCCGCACCTACATGAATATTACTAAAAAGGCTATTATTACAATGATTCTTATTTAAAAACAAAAACAGTCAAAGCTGTGGTTCAAAAACCGACTCATTAGGTTTTCTCTCACCCATGCTTTTAACGAGACACCTGAGAATGTTTGTCTTATAACAGGTTTCGACAGTTCTGAAAGCAAATATTTGAGAACCGTTTGAGTTGAGTTTCTGAAAGATTTATTATAAATGTTCATTTATTGACGATTATTAGCCTATTATATGTTTATCATAATACAATTTATTATATAAATATTTTTTATATTAATATATAATATTAGAATTTTAATTATTCTAATATTATTATAGATCAGTATTTTAATCTAATATTTTACATTACCATTTCATTTAATTATATTTTACAAAATTTCAATCTTTCCAAGTATCTACTGGAACTGAAGGATAGTTCACCCAAAAATGAAAATTCTGTCATTAATTAGGCTACTCACCCTCATGTCCTTCCAAACCCGTAAGACCCTAAGACCTAAATTTGTTTTCCGAAGATGAACGGAGGTCTTACGGGTTTGGAACGACATGAGGGTGAGTAATTAATGACACAATCTTATTTTTGGGTGAAATATCCTTTTAAGCATCCAGGGTACCAGTGGTGTGGTAGGAAATCACTGTGATAGAGGGTCTTTTGCCCATTTAAGGTCTAGACTATCTGAAAATGTGTTGAAAGGCACCAAATGTCTAGGGAAATCCCCAGAATAATGCCATGTGTAAAAAGTTGTTTTTATACAAAGTGACTTTGGATTGACCTTCAGAATGACCAAGCTGCTGACCAGTGAAAGCGGTTAAGCAAAGATGTATTAATAAATTAGGAAATGTTGGCATTCTGTTAAGAAAGAACCATTTATATTCATTAAAGTAACCAAACAGCAGCAAATTTGGGTCCTTAAAACAAGTAGTGAAATTCATTTAGAGCTATGAGCTCTAGAATGCGGCGACGTCACGGAAAAGGTGCTCTCAAAACGGGTGTAGCCCCGCCTCTACAAGTGACGTACGTGGTAATTCCCCCGCTGATTGGCTAAGGCCACTTTTAGTTGCGTCTGTGAACCGCTCGCTGAACCCACGCGCCCAACAGCACCGTTTATTTGCACAGTGAGCGCGAGGGAAGAGCATCTTCAAGACTCGTTTTTGACTCCGCACTGATTACTTCATTTAATCATTTTATATCTACATGTCGAATAATAGCTATTTGTTACAATATTTAATTGTATCTAGTTTTATTGCTTCGAGGTCTGTTACGTGAATATTTAACGTAAACTTCACAAGAGCAGACGGTCTCATAAATCTTTTTTTTTTTTTTGCTTGATACGACGTGCTGTCGACAAGATGCCGCACGGATACATTTCGTAGTTGTGAATTTCGCAGTTTTCTTATCCTCCGGAAGTGGCGGTCAGTTTGGTGTATCACCAGTAACTTCAGTTTAAAAGGTAAGTCAAAAACTTCCTCGATTTGGCGAACTGTCGTAGATAACTATGTCATTGCTTTTTCTTGTGCTTTCCACAATTTTATTAGCCCTGCATGCCATGCAAACCGGAAACATGTCCATGCATGATTGCAAGTAATGTAATTACAAAGTCGATACAGTGTAACGTTAAAAGCGTTATAATAATCTGCTGCGTTTAGGAAACTATTTGATCCCGGGCGTGGACGACAGGAATTCATGTAGTTATATCAAAACATTCCTTTTTTGATAAGATAAAACTCTTCTAATAGTGTATTAGTTTGAGAGTTGCGTAATGGTTGCATAGGCTTTGTATTTTGAGGGTTGGTTGTCATTTATAAACAATAGTTACGCAATTCATGGCAATATATTAAGGTATTTACTTAAATACACAAGGCGTCTTTATTTTGTAGACATGTCAAAGTTATTCTGCCATTTAAATGTAAGATCTTAGTACGCATGTGTCAGTATCAGAGTCTTTCTGTATTGATGACTTAATCTCTTTAGATGCAAATAGCTCATTAAAGTTGTAGTAGGAAATTTAGTGCTTGCACTTCTACATGTATTAAATGACAAGCACTCTAATGTACAACTTACAAGCTTATCTAACTGCCTCAGTAAAATGGCATGCTACTTAGAAGTGAAGATGATGGAGGTGATGATGGTTTGATTAGAAAAATGAATGTGAAAGTATGTGAGAGGTCTGAGTGTGTGAACTACTGGCTGTTTGACTCTGAACACCATCTGAATGTGACAAGAAGCACCGTATCCATTAGAAATACACTCTTTTGTCATTTCCCAGTCACCATGGTAACAGATTGAGAAATGTGTTTTTCTATGTATGTACTAGTCCCAACCAGAACTGTGTGCCAGTTAAGTAATATTTTTTTATTCCTGCTACCACAGGATTTAAAGAGACAACTGGCTGCTTCAGCGGCCAATTTGTGAATATTTTTACAGCAAGATAAATTGGGGGTGGTGGACTGACTTTTATCTCCCTTCTCAGCCATTGAGAGTAGAAGCAATGAGGTGGATGCTCTCTCTTTCTCTCTCCCTCTCTCCTTATCTGTCACTTTCTATAAACAGTACTCCAAGAAACACAGACATCCAGACTTCAATATATTGCAGTTTTGGAAACCAAACACAACATCTGCACAAGACAGAGGGTTTCTGCTGAGATTTCTAAAACGATTATTTCACACCGTATGAAATTCAATGCATAATGAAATCCCAATATTTTATTGATGTACACGACAGAAATTTACACTGAGTCAGAGTGATTGTGTTTGTAAATTTCTTTAGCTTGTGACAGTGTTTCGAAACATGATTGGATAGAACAGGGTGTCAAATTGCCCTGTGCGTAGCTTGAACTCCAGTTGAATTTTGCAGCGATATGTGAAAAGGCTTGTTTCTGACAGCCTGGACTGAAAATGGATCTGACAGGCTGCAGATGTCTTCAATAACATCTCAAATTATAAATGACAGCAGTTAATCCTGCCTCATGATTAGTGCCACCATGTCATGAGCCTATAACACCAACCTAATATGTTATTTAGTACAATACATTATATTTAAAAAATGTGGTAAAATTAAAAGTATGAAATAAGTTTTATATGTACATCAGTTGAATAACATAGCAGACATAATCCAAGAATGCATATTATGTACACATTAATTAACAACAAAAATGTAAAAAATGCATCTATCTGAATAAAGTAATATCTTACATTATCTTTATTTAAAGACTTTTATCTAATAGGCTATTGATGCATTTGCATTTAATTATAAATTAAATGTGTTTGATAATGCTATAATGTAAATCAGTTCATTAGATTTTTGATCATTAATAGTGGTTGAACGGTTAATAGTGGTTTGATCATTAATTCATAGTTGATCCGTGATCTGTACGGAGCAAGCCCCATGTTTTGGCACGCATGTGATCCACAGATTAATTGCAAAATGTAACCATAATAGAGTGAAAGTTTATCATTTATTCATGTTTACACACGCAAGCGATTTTAAACCATTCCAGCAAAAGAAAAGGCGAAAGGGTTTTCTATGCGCACAGCTGCACACGCAGAGAGGAACGTTTCAGACTGTGCACAAACACCGAAATGAATCCTCTTTCGTATCTCCTTGTGTTTGAACAGACACATATACACATCAAATTATGTCAAAATACCGATCTCGACAATCATTCTGATAAATGCAATTAATTGGGTATGTCTTAAGTGAACAAGAACAGTTGACAAGAAATCAGATGTGTATCAGTCCATTTGTCCAGTTTATTGTACAGTCGTCTACTTGCCAATGCCATGTCATTAAATATGGTAATTATTCAAATTAAATAAAGGTTTTATTTATAAATTTAAGATTCAGGAGGTCTGCTCATATAGCTGCGAGCTTTAGAGTCCTACCTCAGTTGCAAGGGGATAAGATCCTCAATGTCCATAGTCCTTTCTCGTAAAAATAACCTAAAAGAAAGTTCCATATCATCCATTCAGCCTTCTATTTCTGTGCTTGGTATGTCCCAGTCTGGACAAACCTAAAGGATGCATTAGAGGCTGTAATTTCCTTTTCCATCAATATTGTATTATGGTACCATTATGGTGCACTTTCCATTTCTTCAACTCTTGTACAGCTTCTCCATTTTCCCACTGTGCAGTCCAGCTCTCAGGTTAGTGGCTGTGAGTGTGAAAAATGCTGCTAGAAATACAATCTACAAATATAACTTTAAGCTAAACTGTGGGAACATGACTGGGCCAAAGTGCTCAGAAAGAATTCACGAGGACAACCACATAGACGTTTATTGGCTTTTTAGTTTCACCTATCACCTATTGCGACTGCAGCTGTGCAGGTTATCTTGCTCAGTATGGGGCTGCACATAGCTGTGTCCTTTAAGAAGAAAACACACACCTTTATTTTCCCACCAGAGCTCAGGACCGCTTTACGAAACCACACACGCTGTTGCCATAGTCACAGTGTGAGGTGAAATAAGCTGAGTTTGATAAGAGACATCAGGAGGGTGGTAGTGGTCTGATTCTGTGATTCTTTCATTCTTTACTTATGGGAACTTCTCTACGATCTCAGCTGTGTATAGGAAATGTGTTGTGGATAGTGCACGTTTGTATAGGGCTTTGAGAGCAGATGCTGTGGTTGCTCAAGCACAGTGGCAGGTGTTGCCTCCGTCTGCCTTCCTCATCCATTAAAGATGTGATTTCTAAACCTAAACAGGTGGGTGAGGTTACAGCTAGATGGAAAGACACCATTCTGTCTCAGACTTGTCTGGGTTTCTGGTATTCGTATGTTGCTTATTTAAAGTAATTTGTGCTTGCATCACCTCAGCTGAGGCAAAATCTGATATCTTTGTGTTTAAGACTTGACTTAATGACATATAGTCTCATCATGTCAGTTCAGACAGTCTGCGTTGTAGACAGCCGATGTCAATAGGTCAGCTCAACTTTCCTTTGGTGTCATTTAATTGCTGTCTTTGTGTTGACGAAAGAGGGCAATTTCAACAATGAACTCTTTTTCCTTTACAGAAAACACAGCATTTAAATATTTCTATTATTACATTTATTTTACTGTATTTATGATGCTTCTAAAAGTAATTAAAAGACACCTCTTGCAAGAATTTCATCTTTAAAGCCATAATATGTAAGATTTTTTGATTAAAATATCCCAAAACCACTAGAACAGTGTTATATATTTTGCTGACTTGTGTACTTACATTGTCCCAAATATTTTGAAGAATGTTTAAATCCAGAGAAATAAGTAATTTTATCTAGTGTAACAAACCGTGTCTATAGTGTCATTGCGTCGCCTGCCAATGACTTCATACACCCTCGATTTTTCCGGTTTTATTTTGTTAAAAACATGCAAACCCCAAAGACACTTTAATATGTTATGCATTTTATTAGACAGGTGACGTTATAACAGAACTTTCAATACACTCAAATGTATCTAGTATAAAACAGCACTGTTTTACCCCACATACGCATAACCGGAAGAAGCGGAACCAGTCGACTGTGGCATAATAAAAGCTCTGCTGCTTTCGAGCCGTGTATCGCGCTCGTCCTTCATTAGCAATCACTCCAGCGGCCTCGTTTCGCTTCCACGACTTTTAGCCCCACCATGCTTCACACTACAGTGACCTTAATAAGTCTTTAATACATTAGCTCATCAATGAACATGATTTCTGCCCGAGTCCTGTTGGATTGCATCGGCTGTGGGGAAGGAGACGACAACTCCCATGATTCCACACTCAATCATGGCATGATCAAACTACGCCTTTGTTTCTTGTTTGTTTTGAATATGCGCCCTCTTGCGACGAAAACTTACATATTGTGCCTTTAACAATGGAACTGTATTTCTAATTTCTCAAACATTTTGTCCTCAAATAATTGTTGATAACCCATTAAAGGGGCTTTCGCACTGGAGGAACCTTTTCCTAGTTCCTAGCAGAAGTCCGCTTTTTGACACGTTCGCCCCGCAGGAACTAGGAACGTATTTAGGAACTCTGTTTGAGGGAATTAAATTGGCTCCTACTTCAGAGTAGATTCTAAAACAGTTCTATAGGAACTACCAGTGACATAAGTGTACACTGATTGGCCAAACGCATACGAAACATCAGCTACCCAGCATTTTTAAAAAGCCATGTAAAAATATTTACTCCACGAATATGGAAAACAGCAATAACTGCATGTAGCTACCTGATGTGTGCAGCATTGTGTTATTTTCTTAGCCACGATGATATGTAACACTGCAAGTTGTCATAGGAGATTTAGTTGCCTGGGTTGCGTACGTATATGTGGGGCGGAGCTATCAAAATAGGGGCAAGACCCTTTTGGGGTAGGGGCGTATTTGTTTTGGTGATTTCAAATATCAACATTGGCTACCAGAAATCACTTACTCTGCCTTTAATGCTTTTTCAATCGCCTAAATTGTGCATTTACATCCCATTTCCGTTATCCCAAAACCCACGAC